GACAATTTCGAAAAAACTAATGCTGAAAAGGGAAGTTCACAGAAATTAGATGAAATATTTGATCTCCTCAAAAAAGTAGCCGATCATATGTTTTCTGGTAAGTTATATTTAGTACGTGAAAACAGCCAGTGCCACATTAGTCTCCGTCTGCAATAGCTGTTTTAAGCCCTAAGCCTTAAGAAATTGTTCAATCACAGTTGAATTTGAGGAAAATCGTTGACTGTGATTGGTCAATTTCTTAGGGCTTAGAACACCTGTTGTAGACGGGCACTTACGTTAGGGATACCCTATATATTTCATGATCCTTACTCCTTATCAAGCGTCCATAAAAATTTTGCAAAATTCATAATTTTAAAAATTAATTTTTTTGCTATCCCTATCATTCTTTCTATAATTTGCCGCCCCGGGCTATAACCCCCTCAGCCCAAGCCTTAATTGGCACTGAAAACAGCCTAGTCAAAGTGATGTCAATATTGTCAATATGACATCAAAACCATCATTTATCATTACTTTCTCTACCTGGAATACAAGCAAAATTAGGTATTATATTTATGTGTTAATTCATCGATAATAATCGAAAATAATATTTTAATTTATCGATGAATTATTATATATATGTACATGTGATTTTGTAAACATTTTTCATACTAAATTACTGTCAATACACTTTGTACGAATACAAATAATGAAGAATTATTGTAATTAGATTTTGATACGAAAATTGCATCAGATGCAAATAAATCTTTACATAAAAATACCGACAAAAATGAAAGTAGTCCATCAATGCTCGACTTTAGACCTCTAAGAAAAAGATCTCGACTTGCATTTTATCCTGTAGTCAAGGATGCAACTGTTATTGAAAATATTACATTAGTAAACAATAACAAGACCGATATCGAAGACGAAACTTGTTATCTGCCTGCAGAACAAACTGCAAATAATGAAGAATTATTAGAATTATCTTCCGATACGGAAATTGCATCAGATGCAAATAAATCTTTGCATAAAAATACCGACAAAAATGAAAGCAGTCCATCAATGCTCGACTCTAGACCTTTAAGGAAGAGATTTCGACTTGCATTTTATCCTGCAGTCAAGGATGCAACTGTTATTGAAAATAGTACATTAGTAAACAATAACAAGATTGATATCGAAGACAAAACTTTTTATCTGCCTGCAGAACAAACTGGAAATAAAAACGAAATGGATAATTTTAATTTGTATGACATAGAAAACAAGCCACCTAAAAAAGAGACGTTATTGGATAAGTTTAATATGTAAATATCACTTTATAATTGTGTTAATGTGTGTGTGTAAGTTGCTTTTAATATCTAATGAAAACATTATTTACAGATGGTCAAAAAGAAAGGACATTTCAGAGCAGCGTAACATACGATGTAAAGCTGAGAGAGCAAAATTAACCGGCTGGGATTGCTGGGAATGCAGAGAAGTAATGCAACATTAACAGTATAGTTATATGAGATATAAATAAATAAATAAATAAATAAATATAAATAAATATAAATATTTTTCTTATAAAAAATTAATTCATGATATTTGATTTTCAGTATTATAACAATTTGTCGTTATCAAAAGAAAATTTGCAAAAACGAAAGAATCAATGCTCGCGACATCGACGCAAATATGAACGACCAAATACACCAGAAGGTATAATATTTTATTTTATTATCACTTTTTTATGTTATACTATATCTATAATAAATATAATCTTTTTAAAGGTTTTTGGAATCCGATTTTTCCTGAGACATTATCCACTTTGACAGAATAAAGGTGAAACATTATCATAATATGATGTGTACAATTCTTTGTTAAGGGAGAGTGGAGTAATTACGAATACCTAAGCAAAAAATCAAATAAAACAAAACCTGATTCAGAGACTTAGTGTGTATTGCTTGTTATGTACTGCAACCAATCATTCACAAACTTTTATTATCAACTCCTATTATTCCACATCCATATGTTGTCACTTTGACATTTTGACTAGATTGTTTTCATTGATATACTTAGCAGACTCATTACAGGAAAAAGGGTTTATTTGTATTTTTTTCTTGCAAAAATTAGAACTAAAACTATACAAAATATTTTTTTTATAATTACTATAATATATTTTATAATTTTTTTTAATAGATACAAGCCAAGATAAACGAGATACACCAAAGAGTAATGAAGATGAGCAAATTACCTGTGAAATACAAGATGTTCATATATCTGCAGATGTATATAATAACATAATGAGAGAAAAGGAACCTAGCCACTTTATTACTAATATGTCGTATGCAGTGTGGGGACCAGAGGTATTAGCCAGTCGTTGCGTTAGATCGCAATCCAATGTGGTAGAACCTGAGTTGACTCCAACTAAAAAATATGGCATTGTTAATGAGTTTGAAAAATGGATGCGGATCAAACGCAAAATGCCACAAATGTTAATTGACGAACAATTACATCGTTCTAAAGTTAACAAGTACTTTAATGGTGCAATAACTGCCGCCCGCAAGAAACTCAACTACAAAATGAAAAGAACATTTAGCCAAAAAGAAGCAGTTGAGAATAAAATAAGAGCAGAAACAACGAAGGAAGGAGGAGAAGAAGACGAAGAAGAAGACGAAGAAGAAGAAGACGAAGAAGGAGAAAAAGAAGAAGAAGCAAGTGATGATATGAGCGATGAGACAATAATAATGAGCGATAAGACAATGGACTATGAAACATATATGAAAAACCAGCGGTCAATCAAAAAAATTAGAAAATAAGTGATATAAATGATAAGAATTAATAACACTAACATATATATGTAAAAATTTTGTTGCTTACCTACCTGATACTTATTAATACACTTATTATAATAATACTTACCTATTTGAATAAAAATTTAAAATTTGGATAATTAAAATTACTTTTTAAGAATAATAAAAAAATTATATTTAATTTATATTTATTTCAAAGTCCTATATTTATTTATATTTGCGTAACACTTTTCGTTTTAAATATCATGAATTTATATGAATTGTATAATATAACAGTGTTTTTTTTAACATTTAATTAATTTTATACGTCATTTAAATTGTTTACATAGTTAAATTGTTTTGTAAAAGTTGTAAATAAAAACAATATAGGTCTGTTTCTATCTCTGCATTGCTGAACTAGTGCACACTGGTGCAAAAGTTAAAGTGACAAGCATACTTTGTTTCACTCTAACTTACTGCAACAGTGTACATTATAATAGTGTACACTGTTGCAGTAAGTTAGAGTGAAACAAAGTATACTTGTCACTTTAAATTTTGCACCAGTATGTGCACTAGTTCAGCAGTGCAGGAATAGAAACAAACCTTATTGTGCATAGAAAGTTGTAGATTTCAGCATAGTTTGATGTAAAAATGTTGAACACATGTCGCATACTTACATCTAAAAAGTTGTAGTTTTGTCATAAAAATTTCTACGTAAATTTATGAAACACTACAAACATGGCCCAAATCGCGCACTTTTGACGTAAAAATTACGTAAAAATAGTTTTAAAAGTTGTAATTAGATTAGAAGAAATTGTAGTTTTCACGTAATTTTCGCGTAATTTTCGCGTAAAAAATTGGATAATTATTTCCACCAGGGGTGCCCTTCTACTCGCATTTGTTGCAGCACTCGATATACTGTACTTTTCTGTAATACGTTAAACGTATATTTTAATGATTAAATTAAATAATGCAATATAGCTAGACGAGTTTAATGACTTGTAACTTATCCAAATAGAGAATAGAATCATAAATGCATGGATACTTTACATTTACGTGACATATTCTCGAAACCTCTGTAACCGTCAATCCTGCATTTGTATATGCAAGTATTTCACCTCTAACACGTTGCGGAGTAGGACCAGGCATTTCAATATTGTATTTATATATAACACAAATATTTAACGTTAAAAATGGTTAACTCGTCTCAGTTTAATAACGCTAACACGTTGTCAACATAAACAAGTTGTCAATTGTTATTATGTAGGAAGATATATCTGAAGATATCTTATTGACAACTTGTTTATGTTGACAAGCCAAATCTCCGGATATGAATGTGATCGAAAATCTTTAGGGCATAATTGTTCAAGAGTGGAATCCAAGAATTCGGCGTACACGCGAGGAACTTGAGCAACACGTCCTTAATGTGTGGGAGGGTTTCCGCGCAAGGCCCGCGCTATTCCACTATTTAGTGCACTCTATGCCCCAAAGATTAAGAGCGGTGCTAGACAACCATGGAAGTGTCACGCGGTATTAATACTATGTGACCTTCCATGGATTATGCATGAATGAATGTTTGATATTGAATGATTGTAGCTTGAACAATCTCGATGAAATATTATATTATAGTTTAATAATGTTTTATATTGTATATTTTAAAATATAGAAACATTATTAAACTATAATATAGAATGAACGTAATGAATAAATGAATGAATGAATGAATTAATATTGAATGAGAGCGTTCTAAGGTAAAAGCTATCCGAGGTAATTTTAAAGTTTATGCTTTTTTTAATTTCCACTACCGTCGTCATATGATCGGTCTCCTATATATATATTTAAGAGAAGTTCTCACCTCAGGTAAGACACCGTACCTGAAACATATTACTCTTTGAGTAAATTACTTTGTAAAATTCAAAATAGAAAAAATTTATAAATAATTAAATTGAGCTTATTTTTCTTCTTTTTATAGAGTATATCAGGCAATCATACCTATATATGACTGCCTCTTCCTTCCACGGCCACTTACCTTCCTTTGATCGTCGAGCGCATCCAACGTCCGCGTTGATGCTCGCTATCGGCACGGGTGGAATTGCGAGTCCGAGCGAGCGAACACCGTCTCGTGCACCGTCGCGTCGTCCTCCCCAACGTTGCCGTCGTCGTCGTCGTCGTCGTCGTTGGCGCCGTTCGTCCGAATGTCTTGGCCGAGCTGAGTGAACGCATACTCTCTCTCCGTCGCGCGGGGTGTTGAGCCTACCAGCTTGCGGTGTGTGTGCTATCGACGTGGTGATACCACACTGCAACGAGAGATTGCAGTTGTTTATCAGTTATTCGTAATAATCATATAAATTAGATAAATATAACGATCACATAAATTATACAAATAATCATATAAATAATAATTGTTATAATTAATAATATACCAGCCATGCCGTTATCATGATGGTCCGCATGATCGGCGATGAATTCCTCATGGAGGAGCGGGACCGAAAGTACTACGCCGTGTTTGATACTGCACCTACTGGGCACACATTGAGGCTACTATCGTTTCATCACACAGGTTAGAATTAATCCATGTTATTTCACCTAAAATTAATACATTTTAACATTAGGTACATCAAGTATCTTCCCTGAATTATTTAAATTGAAAAAAAGATTTTTTTTTATAGATAAGTTCGTTGTTGGGATTAACGGATTTTAATGTGGATACATTTTTCAATAAGATGGAGGAAATGCTTGCTGTCATTCGACAAGTTAACGAACAATTCAGAAATCCACAACAGACGACATTTATATGTGTCTGCATAGCAGAATTTTTGTCGCTTTATGAGACAGAACGACTTGTACAAGAATTGGTACAACAAAATATGGTATTGATACCCATAATATTATAGTGAACCAACTGTTATTTTTGAAAGAGGGTGATACTCCTTGTCGGCTGTGTCTTGCAAGGCATAAAATTCAAGATAAATATATCTAGAGCAGGTAATTAACGTTGTATTTATAGCTGATATTTTAATTTGTTTTTCGTAATTCTTTTAGAGCTAAATAATTATTAGAGAATAATAATATTTCATATTTATTGCTTTGTCAAATTCTTGAAAGATAAATTAAATGATTTTTTTTTCTTTTTAAGATAATGGACCTTTATGAGGACTTTCACGTCACGCATCAGCTTCCATTGCTAGAAAGGGAAGTGCGTGGAGTTCAACAGATCAGGGAATTTTCGGAAAATCTCGTTAAACCGTACAAACCTTAGCATTTTATGTAACAAATGTTTAATAACAATATAACTTTACACCTAATTCAAGATTTTATCACTTACAACATTGCGCGTTGGAAATTTGTATAAAAAAAGGTACACCTTTAATATACTGCTCAATTAAAATATTTGTTATTGCACGTGTTAATAAATTCAACGTTCAACATTCGCATGCACTTATATACTTGCAATATTTAATTTGTATAATACAAATAAGCTTAAATATATAGCGTTAACACTGCGATTTATTTATTTATATAATGAAACAGAATGCATATTGGAGACAGAATCAATCATTCAATTTTTCTTTGCCGTTATTAAAAATGTATTTATTAAATTACCGCAAGTTCTTTTCCAATTTGTATGAAAGCACCTACCGCACGATCTATATCTTCGGTCGAGTGCGCTGCGCTAATCTGAACACGTATTCTTGCTTTATCTTTTGGTACCACGGGATAGCTGAATCCAATGACGTAAATTCCCTTTTCTGTAAAAAAAAAAAAAAAAAAAAAAAATCATTCTCGTGCAATATAACAGAATAAGTCGTAAAACTTTGATAATATATGGTAGGTGTTGTATATTTTATCATTGAATAGTTCATTTCTTTAAAGATTTTATAATTTATATGAAAATATATTCATACCCATCATTTTATCTGCAAATGTTGTTGCTAATTTTGCATCACCCAACATAACAGGAAAAATAGGATGGTTATCGCCGCTGACAATGACTCCAGCTTTAGTCATCGCATTTCTGAAATGCTCGGTATTGCCTGCTAAACGATCCAAAAACTTTGTGCTGTCTGTTATAAGATCCATCATCTGTTAATAATGTATAAAGTAATGTTTAAATTAGAAAAGTTTAAATAGCACAATAAAAGTTTAATATCACTGCCGATCACTACGCATGCTGCCTGCTGCCCACCGCCTCTCTTCATCATCTTCATCACCCTCGTGAAGCTGGGCTTCTTCACGTATTACACAGTGGCGATGGGTTGAGGTGAATCCCTCCGGGTCGATGCCGATCGACAGTGTCTTCATTTACAGACCGGACAAGCGGCTCGAGCTTTGGAGATTCACTTTCTAATCTTTCAGATCTGTATAAGAATTTGTAACGAGTGTAACTGTTATTGTAACGATACTTTTTGAAGCTGCATAATAAAAAACTGATATAAAACTGATATAAAACCTTCTAGTTTGTAATAAACAAGTATTATTCTAAGAGCTGTGTTCTTTCGCCATTACCGATGAGTCAAATTATGTCGACAGATGATCGTATAAAATCCCATATATCACAAGTGGCATGAAGAAAATCATACTGTTTTAATAGCTGTCCAATTAGTGGATTGTTGCCTATTATTCTCTTTTGCAGAAAGAGTGACCGCAAAAACAGGCTAAAAATAGCCTCTTTTTTCACCCTTGAATTTAGACTTCTACTTACAAGTACTAAATGATAGTCTATAATGAGTCATGAATCCTCAGAAAGTTTCAGATTTAGCTGGCTTTTTATTTTCAAGATATGGAGGGGTCAAAGTTGTTGATTTCACCAACTTTACAGGCCCACAAAAAGTGAAAAGTTGTCTGCGCCATGGACTAGACTATGGTATTCCAATGTATTTTTGCCTGCTGAAACCGAATGTGACCTCAGTTTTGCTCCTACACGTCATGATTTTTTTCTACAACCAAAAACAGGGTGTTTTGTAGGGGCAAAATACCTTGTTTTTGACTGTAGAAAAAAATCCTATTAATACAAACAAAATGTTACAAAAATATTTAGAAATAACATAAAGAATTAAAAATTTTCCACAGACTTTTAAAAATAATATAATAATACGTAAAAATAATATAAAACCTTATTTAAAAGTAAACATATTTCTTGCGCTTGATTTGAAACCGATTATTTCGATATTTCAACGTTAACAGAATATGTATTAATTTTTATACTCACAATATAAAAATAGTTTCAGCTAACTATAATAAATAAATGTAAAGCATACACAGTAAAAAATAATAAGAATCCGATATGTTGTGCCCCCTTTTTGGGACACTTGGGATTCGATTTTTCCAAGGAGGAGGCGGGAGGCAAATGATAAACACTTTTGGATGCAATAAACACGACTTTTACTAATTACTTCTCCTTTACAACTTATTTCGTACAAGACCCGTTCGTCGCTGCCCGACTCACATTGCCCCCTCGTCTTCTGTTGTCGCTTCCTTTTCAATCCTCGTCCTGTCCTTCGATATCGCTGAGTTGCTCGATCGTATCTGGGCCGATCGCGCAACTCATCTTTTGCTGATTCGGCGTTGCGTAATTCTCTCGGGCTTTCGCGGTCGCGTTCCCTATTGTTATTCTCGGTCTTTCTTAATATTATTCTTATTTTATTATAACATTTTAATTGGGGCCGCAACATCCCTCCCCCTTTGAGAGAAGGAAACTACGGTCTGTAGTTTTCGTTACAATTTTTTCGCTGCTTATCCTATTTCTATTTCTATTAGGGTGATTTATTTTCTTTATTTGTTTCTGAGATTACATTCTTCTTATTTTTTAGTATAGTATCGCTGAGTCGCCCTGTCCGTGCGGTCGGGCGCTTGCTCGCTTCTTATGTCTTTTTATTACATAGATGATTATTCCTACTATGCTTAATATAATTATTAACGTAAGTGTCGATCCTACGGGATATATGACGTAAGGATTTTTTATTAGGGTGTCTTGGGATTTTTCCAATTCTTTATTTATATCGCTTATTTCTAGATTTAACTCCATTAATTCGTTCGGATTCCTAATTACAGGTTCTAATCTAATTTCTTTTTTCGTTTGTTTGTTAATATTTTTATTTATGTTTGTTAGCGTTAGGTTAAAATCTGCTAGGTGCATTTCTATTTGTCTCATAGTCGTTTGTCTTTTTGTTTTTATAATAATGTCGGGTGTGGTTAGTTTACAATTTTTGTTTATACTTAGTTTTCTTGTTCGTTCGATTTCTACCTTTTGTTCCGCCTGATCGTTACATTGGATCGCTATCTTTTGTTTTCTCGGCGCCGAGAACAGCCACGCCTGTGGTTCGCTCAACGCTACCCACAAGGTTACGTCTGACACCATTTGCCGCCTCTCGCAGGCGTTTACATATCCCGGCGTCCCCACATAAACTTGCACTTCGTAGGGTGCGTTGGTCCCCACAAAATATATCGGGCAGTTTCGGTCACATACGTACTCTGCTCCGTTTCGTTTACAGTCGTTTAAATCGCGTTCCTCTAGCGTTATGTAATTATGATTCTCTTTGTCTATTGCTAATATGTTGTGAGTAGCTCTTAGGAATGTGAAAATATTCGCGTGGTTAGGGACAGGTAATGGTGTCGTTTTTATTATGTCATACACGGGGTATGCTACCACGGGGATTATCGTATAAATGTTCGGTTTATCATAATATGCGCTAATTTCTACATAGTTTTGTATCTCGTTCCAATTTTCTACTCTAGTTTTAAACGGAAAGTGGGATCCCTGCGTCAATTGTGACGTTGCTTCTTGTAGTTCGGTTGTTATTTCTTCTATTGGCAATAGGCGGGTGAGTATTACTCCTTCCCGCGAATATGTGAGGTAGTCTATGGTGTCCTTCACGTCTTCCATTAGATCCTCTGTGATTGTGGTTAGTATTAAAAGCTGTTCGTCTATTTCTTCTCTTTTGGCGTACAGTGCTGTTTCCAGCTGTATCCGTCTCGTGACGTTCGCCATCAGTTGTTCGTTGTGGTATAACGATTTTTCTAAGGCCTCCATGTGGCCTATCGTGGCATTTATCACCTTTAATTGGCTTTTTGCGGTGTGCCGTAGAGTCTGTTGCTGATTTTGCATCAGTTCAAGCTGCTCCTGTATGTGTTTTGCATCGTCGGCATCCATAGTGCCGAACAGCGTTTTGCTGATCGTGCCGATCGCGTCTATTAGCCCTCGCTTCTTATTAGTTGTTTTATATATAGTCTGTAATCGCGTTAATAATTGCGTTAATTTTTTGTTATTTTTCTCTATTGTATGGAGAATGTTTTTGCACGTCTGCTGCGTGTCCTTTGCGATTATCGTTTCGCATACTTCTTCGGCTTGCTGTAGAAATTCCTGAAGTTGGTGATATCGGTTTCCTAGGGCTGCTACGTCGATTTTAATCGCTAGTTTCCAAGTAGCTTCTACCTGTTGCAATTGTCCGGTTCTCTCAAAGTATATTCCCGGCTCGCTGCTGAATTGTCGTATCTCGTACGATGGTGCTGTCTCAGGTTTCGCTTTTTTCGCGAAGTGCTGGACGACGATCAGCGTCCTGTAAGATAAGGACTCATGTTACCTTTCTTCGAATTTTTACCTTGGCTTGATAATGCCTTCTCCTCGCGTTTTTTCTCTCCTCGCGCGTTTAGTTGCTCTTGCGACGTGATTCAGAGAGAGTACTTTTTGTTTGCGCTAATTTGTGAAATGAGGTGCCGTCTTTGCAACCGTTTTTTTTGTCCCGACGACGTGCGACGCATGCTGGCGCACGTATTGGCTCCGCGCTGCTCGTGCGGGTGCCGTAAGTGAGGGTGCCGCGCCTAGTGCGCGGATTGCGGCAAATTTGGGTTCGGGGCCGACGTCGCCCCCTCCCACCTACGCAAAAACGTTGCTAACGCCCCCGGACACCTGGGTGCATCTTCTCCACCCCCTGGAGGTCACCTTGGATGTGGCCACCGGACGTCGTGTGGTGCGACGTGTTTGATGTTCGGTAAGTACTTATTGTCTAATTTTCGTTAGTTTTTACTATCGCCTATTTTCTATTGCCTACTTCCTATTGCTTGTTTTTGTTCTTCTACGCTGTTTTTACTGTTCTATAAAGGGCTTTAATCGGTTTACGTGTACTCGCGTGGTTTTCCGTCCCTTTTTGATCGTATAATTTACGTCTGAGTGTTTTTCAATTACTTCGTACGGTCCTATCCACGGGGATTCTAATTTTTTCGATCTCCCTCTACGCACCGTTTCGTCGTGCAAGAGAACTTTGTCTCCCACTCGGAAATTGATTTCTTTTGTCTTCTTATCATACGTCTCCTTGGCCTTAGATTTTTCGTTTCGCAAATGTTCTTTTGCAACTCGTTGTGTCGCTCTTAATTTTTCTTTTAGCTCTTGCGCGTAATTGTCATAAGTATACGTTGGTTTCGGTGGTTGCGACAGTGCCGTCGGTAGTGTCGCTCGGTGCCCGTATACTAATTCGAAGGGTGTAAACCCGGTCGCTGTGTGTGGCGTCGTGTTATACGCGAACATTGCGTATGGCGTCCATTCGTCCCAGTCTGTCTGGTCCGCGTTAATATAATGTCGCAAATATTCGGCTAATGTTCTATGAGAGCGTTCCAATGCTCCATTACTCTCGGGATGGTAGGCCGTTGTTTGAATTTTTTCTATCTTCAGTAATTTACACGTGCTTTTAAATATTTCGCTAAGGAAATTCGTTCCTCTATCCGTCAGTATTTTGTCGGGGATACCGTATTCAAAGATAATCTTTGTGACGAATTCTTTCGCGATTGTATTCGCTTCTTGATTAGGTACGGGTATCGCCTTACTGAATTTTGATAAATTATCCTGAAACGTGAGGATATATTTATTTCCGTTTTCGGTCACCGTCAGTGGTCCTACTATATCTAGAGCACATTTTTCGAACGGTTTGTCCGCGGTGTCTGTTATTACTAAGGGTGCTTTATTTTTTCGCGATAACT